ATATATATAATTATTGCTTGTATATATTTTGTGAATTATTCATGTAACAAATACAACTTCAATGTTTTGATTGTATTTATTTATTTTTTATTTAATCTCGTCCTTGATAAACACGATGTAGTGAATATACAATGGTTGCTGTAAGGATTTTAATTTGTCATCCTGATTTATAATTAGATAATAAAATCAGACATATGTTATAAAACTCAAGTTTTAAAATTAATTTAAATGGAACCGAAGAGTCAGCCATCAGAAATGTCAATGCATCAACATTGTCAGAACCTGTTCTGCTTAGTTTCTGGAGTGAGCCTTTTTATTTTCATCATGTCCGCAGATCAGATCATCACAATGCATTTAGCAACGAAAACACGTCTAAAGGGCGGACATAACAGAATGAAGAGAGAGTATTCAAACATGTTACAATTTCCGAATACTGTTAAACCAAATACTGGATGTAATTTTTAATGAAAAAATGACCAAAAAACACATAATTAAAGTTTATTCATAATTTCGAATATCCAGTCAAGGGGATTAACTGTACTTTTTGTAGCAAAATCTGTATATGAAACACTCGATATACGTCACGTATGTACTGAAAAACAGGTCCACAACCTGTCTGAAATATCTTGTGTTATAAATGGAACAAAACTATTACATCTGAACAGGTAAGAGCGTGGGGTCAAATCCTGGGCTTAATGATAGATATATACCTTGAGTGCTCAACTTTTTATATCTGTTCCTTATTGATCCAACCAGTTTGTATCTTTTTGATGAGATTCTCATTAAAGTCTTTTAATGATCCCTGATCAATTCATTTCGATTGATTGCAGTCGCCACGTCATCAAACCATAGTAACTCACCATTCAATATTGTTGGTATAATAACACATATACACAGTTACATGATAAGAAATCTAGTTTACTGAAACATTTTTGACGAGAACAGTGACTACATTAATATAAAAATTCATTTGTCATAACAATAACACGGTTAACCTAAATTACTTGTACTATTACGATAGTTCTTTCTTATTTGATGGTATTATTGATAAACTGCCCCCTACGACGAGAATCAAATATGACATCGTAAATATTCTCATTGACAAAAGTGAATTCTCAAATATAAGTTTGGAAAGCCAGTAGGTTGACAATGGTTTCCATCTTGTAAAACTCAAATTATTGTCCACATTGTCATGTGTATTGAAAGTGGAACTGATGTTTACGATAAGATTTAAAGTGCCTCTGGAATGCCCACTAACACATTTCCTAATTTGGATTTGTGTTTCATTTTGTTGTTGAAAATTATTACCCGTATGAGAGTATATTTGAGATCGTTATACTGTTATAATAATGAGTCATCTGACGGCGTTTTTTTGAAACATTGTATTTTTGGCGAATCCAGCAATGCATATAGTAATAGTGTGAGAATGTAAGAGTCTACGAACGACCTGAAGGCGTTACATCAGTGGATGAAAGCCGTAAACTCAAAGAGTACAAGTTTCGCCGAACATCTGTCATCATTTATGAAAGAACAATTTGAATTTAAAGACAAGTACCGACAAAATAAATTTGGCACAATACTAACACTTTTCAAAGAACCAGACTAGCCCATGTTCACCGCGTCGCTTTCAGAAAAAAGAGAAACCTCGGGTAAGTTTATCAAATGTTTTTGGAATCTGAATAACGTTTTGTAGAGACCATATAGTTCGTGTTATGTGAGAGGTATTAATGAGGTGATGCGAAATCCAAAGCTCGGAAATTATGTAGTACTCACACGTTGGTATTTGTTTTTAATTTCGCTGTCTAAAAGTTTCTGAATTGTTTGGTGATTGGTTGAATGACGACTTCCCGCTTCTGTGATCTTTTCTTGCAATTTGATCTGCGTAATAAGTTGGCTATCCTTATTTTGCGACCAGGCAATTCTTAATGTGATGTCGTAGTTATGACAATCACGCTAAAAAAATAAACTCACACTTTTTGCTATTGTTTGCTCTTCACTATTTTTGTTACCCAATCTAACACCGCCATTCATAGACTTGTCTTCGCCGTGACCCGACGCGTTTATCCATTTCAACAGAATGTAAATTCCTTCGCACTCGGCTCGTATTTCGTAACGTTATTTAAGAATCATCGACTCCAGGGGCGGATGTAGGATTCTGGAATAGGGGGCGGGCGATAAGTTGGCCGATGGCCTAGTTCGCGAGCGCCGATGGTTACAAATAGGGAGCCGCGGCCCCCTCGGCCCCCTCTAAATCCGCCTCTGGATTCATTATAAATGTTCTTCTCTATTTCATTGATCGCTATGGTTCAATGTTTAGAATGTTAAAACATTATCTTTTGAATTTTGTTTTACTTAGACGATCGATGTAATACATCAGCAAACAAACATATACTCAGTAACCTGACAAATACATACAAATAAATTTGGCGTAGATTGAGTTTGAAAACCATTTTTTTCATTTTAAAAACATATTTTGTAGTTAATAACATAAAAATAATAATATTGATGTACAAATAAATTATTTTGGGCCAGAAAATAGCAGGCAATCCACAAGCATTTTGTTACAGGAGTCTGGTATAATATCAACTTTTAATATGTCTAATTAATGTTTCCTAATACAAACAATATTTTCCCAAAATAATTCATTGTGATTATTTATTTCAAAATTTGTATCAAAATATAGCATTTCCTAATAATCAGAGACTGATGCAGAATGTTGCGTTAGAAGGGGCATATTTACATAAACGTCATTGTTACTTTGCGTTGAGGAACACATTTGTAAGAGAAACGCCGATTTCATGTGCGGCGCTCCTCTAAATCATCTACTGATATTTTAGCCCAAAAAGCGATGGTACAATCATAACACCACGATATAATGCTAGAATAAAAAAGTTATGACGTGATTATACAAGAAACAATTGTCTGACTAACATATATTGTGTATACATTTTGTAATAGTATGATAATTTAGACGAGAATTATGGGACTGTAATTAAGTACAGAATTCATGTATATTTAAAAGCTTGGCGGTTGTAGTTAATAAATAACAGACAATCAACACATTTGTACTACGGGGCTTGGAAAGCTTAGGTGTATTTTTATGCTTCAATTAGCAATTACAGACGACCGTTTACGTGAATGCCTCGAGTACCATCCATAGAAAATTTCAACATACTTTAGTATATGAAAAATACATTTTAGTCAGATATTTTATCAGACATTTGATCAGACAAACCTCTGAGTTTTCCCGGGAGTTTAACCTCATTATATAACCTTTCAACTTTGATGAATATGCAAATTTTATATAGTCATGTTCCTTGACGTCATACACGGAAGTAGAAGTTTATATACACACGTTTTATCGCACATGGAATAACTACGAAGTGAATGTGAACAGGAGAAAAACAAGTTGATATGTATTTCACAAGCGTTACAATGTTACTTATTGTTCTGTTTACCCGGAAACATGGAGGTACAGTATACATTGCTATTTTGTTACGTACTATCACTATGCCAAGAGTGTCAGTTCAACGTAAAATGCGACCTGTTTTGGACACTGTCCTGTTGTAATTACATTAGCTATTAATCTGTGATAATTGCTGTATACAAGTTTAATCTCCTGACATGTTGTGTTGCTGGCAGTTATATTAGCGAAACATTCAGGCATTGGTCTTACTCAATTAAATAAACCCGACACGAGATTTCATGTCAACAGAATTCAGTACAATTGCTTCAGTCATACATACGCCATTGTTCCATTAGCATTCTATTTAACTGGCTGAATGTCCCTTGGCTGTTATGAGCTGGTAAACATGTAAATTCTACGTGGTTATCATAGCACTCTATAATTTATTTATAAAACCCAGATAGATAAACATTAAATGCCCGGAAATTATTGAATATATCAATTATTTATAGTTGACGGTGAAGCTACATTGATAGGACCAAGTAGTACAATGTATGTTATGCCTGGGGAGGACGCTACACTCGACTGTACTATTTACAACTTAGGCGATTCAACTGACCACGCTACATGGGTATATGAAGAAACCTCAACCATAGTTGCCAATATATATCCAACTGGTACTGGCAATGCATCACCAGGATATGGTGTGGATACTTCAACATCAAATAGATATGATTTGATTGTATATGACATCACTTTAGATGGAAGTGATGGTGAATATGATTGTTATTTCAGTCTGGATAACAATCCTGATGGAGAAGTTGGAAAACTTGTTGTGTTGGGTAAGTATAACATTTCTTATAATTTGTAGATGAATACTAATGTATTTATATTATTACTTATTAAGTTGTGATGCACTGACTAATTCTTGTCATTTTGGAATTATTTGAGAGGTGTGATTTGTATGTTTTTACCCAAGGACCCCACTTCGCAACATTTGAACCTAGCGTAGAAGGGAGTTATGCTAGTACGTACTCACCGATTTAGCAAATACCGGTGAAATATTATTATAATATTAATGGAGAAATTGTATATTAATGTATTTTCTCTCACTAGACAATGTTGATTCAGTTGATATTGTTGACCTCTATGATGACCAGAAAGTAGATATAATAGCAGGAGAAACAACACAATTCACTTGTAAAGCATCTGATGGTAACCCAGCAGCTGAGTTAACATGGACAATAGGAGACACCAATATCACAGAATACAGTACATATACAACACAAGTCAGCGATAATAATGACAAACTACATAACTGTATGAGTGTGTTGAATTAAACATTCAATGCAACAGATAATGGAGAGGCTTTGAAATGTCAAGCATTTCAACATGAACGATTAACAAGAACAAGTGCACGTGTTTACGTGAATGTGTTATGTGAGTATTCTTAGCATGTATAATGTTATGAACAGATTACACGTCAATTACGTATGTCACAGTTCATTCAGCTATTTTCCGGATAGAATATAATCGCTGCGTTGTCGAAAGTAGAAAACCAGTGCAAAAACATGCCAGTAACCATTACTTTCTGGGTTGATTCATCAATATTCTAGACCCTGTAATAATCTCCGAAATTGAGATTATTTCTTGGAGTGATGGTGGTGTGATAAATGTGGCATGTGTAGATACAGCCAATCCAGACTCATATCAATATGAATGGGAAGCTGAGGGTGGACAGACTGGTACTACATATGAGAACACATGGGAACTTATAGATACTGGAAATGATGGCCAAGAAGAGATTACATGTACAGCTACAAACACTATGGGATCTAGTACACCTTATACCCAAATAGTCTACAAACCATGTAAGTATACAATGTGTTCACATTATAGTGACAGAGACAGTATGTACAGCTACAAACACTATGAGATCCAGTAGACCATATGACTAAATAGTCTACACACCATGCAAATATATACTTTATAATATATGTATACGTATGTATAGCATGATGTACAAAGACCAAGTTTAAAGTATGACGTGTACGTACTAATATAGTATGCTTACAGAGACATTTGGTTACAATGTCTTTCATTTAAATTCTACCTTCCAGCGATAGAAGTACATCTGTGACGTAAATGTGTCAAAGAACTGCCATTTACAACTGTCATAGTGTTGATGTCTATAATTATCGTTAATAAAATAATATGTGATGTGCTGTATTCTAGTTGACAAATAATCCAAACAATTATTGATTTGAGCTACTTCCCGTCAAATGAATGGAGTGATTTGTGGCTGATCAGTCTTACGTTTCTATGCATATATTTAATTCAAATTAATGTTCATTTCAGACATTATGGCTCTTTCCTGAACAATCGAATGTTAGGTTTTACATAAACTATTTATCCTGTTTGTTTGTAGACGGACCCACAGTTAACGCTATCACAGATAGTCCCCTCAAAATCGTAGCAGGGTCTGACGCCGTGTTAGAGTGTGGCACAGATGCAGTACCACCATTTCCCGATAACGAGTGTTGGGAATGGTTTCTACAGATTGGATCAAATTACACACAGTTAGATTCTTCTGATGAAGGCTATGATATTGATCCAGTGGAAGGTGATGAACGGACAACAACGTTAAATATATTTGATGCACAAGGTGTCCAAACTTATCGATGTCAACTTGGAGAGTCATACGCGAATATTGAAGACCAGGCAACGGGATCAGGGTCAGGTTCGCGGCAGTTAATTATACGCTCTTGTATATATATATATATATATATAGCAACATGTACTATAAGGACATGTACAGAGATTGAATATCTATTCACAAAAATGCAAACACACCGACCATATCCAATTTATCATACATATTTATCTATCTATATTACAACATATAATATAAGAACATGTATAAAGATTGAATATCCATTCACAACCTGTGACGTAATATTTGGTTAATTCACATCATACGAGCTGTGTTTGGGTTTTAAATCATAATTTGTATATTATTCTAGCAACTGATCAGAATTCCTGCACCGTGAGTGTCGGTATGGCGGCATTATTTGCAGTTCTATTTTGTTGCTCAGTGACTGGCAATATCATCGCATTTATTATACATAGACGTCTTAAGGGGAAGTTTTTCTAAACAGGTATGTTTTATGTTAAATAATGACGAGTAAATAATTGTGCTTTCTATGATTTTCTGTGTGGTACTTAGCGTGGATATTGTCAAACATACCAACATATATTCATGTATTTGTTTAAAAAAATGTTTTTGGAGAAATTATGTGTTTTATGTTGATATTCTGTATTTTGTTTTAAAGTCTATGTCGGATTCAGGTGATAATTATACAACACTTTCTACAATGACTAAAGATGCAGTGCATGTATATGAAAGACCTACATTAAAATCAGATGAGGTAAAAGAACATATTACAAATTATCAATCGCATGAAGTAACAAAGTAAACACATTATTCAAATATAATAGTTTATAATTTTATTTGTTTAGTTTATAGATAACTGCTTTTGAACTGACTAACAGACCAAATGAATCATGAAGGTGATTAGATATTGTAGTACATTATGTTTGATTGTAGAACGTTGAAGACAGTAATTATACTTCCCTTTCACCAGAAACAAGAAACACAAAATCTACATATGTGGAAATAAACACGACAAAGGTAAATACTGAGCAACCTGATGCCTTTTTACAGATTACATCGATTTATACGATATTTGTTTTCTACTTTATGTACAAAGAAAATTATTCTGTGGCTGTTCATGTTATAGTATAAATATCATATGTAATGAAACGATGATTAATTATAACATACATAACATTGTACACTTACGGACGATTATTAGGACCAATTAAAATACACGACTGCTAAAATAACTAATAAGCATTGTGCTCATAACATTGTACTTTGTTTTGTTTTCACCCAGAACATCTGAACGAGTAACACATACAAGAAGAGGACGGATTGTTATACAAATGTTGACGTCCACAGATTAGTGACTGATAACATTTAAACAGTTGATCCGAACATATTTAAATTACGTGTTAACTATTGTGGATTTGACTCTTATGTGTCACATTTGCAAATCTCGGAAGTGAAATGAAGTATTTTCTTTTCAATTTGATAGCACCTTTAGAAAAAACACACATTCACGTTGTGATATTGCTCCCAGTTCAATATAATACTGATGTCATTCTGAGTTTTGGTCAATTATTATCCAAATCACATAAACAATTAAAATATTATTAAATAAGTATTAAATAGCGTAATAATGATTTTTCAGAAATATATAACTTTTGCAAGTTTTGAAATTTAACGAC